CACACACACACACACTAACTCAGTCAGTCCACGCATTCACAAACACATACATGGGAGTAAATCTGTCCCTGAATGTGCCAAGCAACGGAAGTCTTCTTGTTCCACAAAATATACACAAGTTCACAGGAGGGATTCTTCTTTTTTCTTCTCTCCAAACTTTCCTTCTCCCATCCCAGAGAGGAAGCCACGCTGCACGGAGCAGTCAGTTTGTGCGCCCTTTCTCTTACTTCCAGTCCTCGTCGTCCTCGTCCTCCCCGTCTGACGAGTCGTCGTTGGTGCTGTCCCCGCCCATTTGTCGCGTCCCGTTCTGCTGCCGAGCGGCGAGGATGGCGGCGGCCTCCGCGGCCGCTCGTTCCTCCGCCTCCTTCTGGCGCAGCGCTGCGGCCTTCTTCTCCTGCTCGGCGTGGCTCTTCATGTGGGCGCTGCGGCTCTTCACCTTGTAGAAGATCCTACAGGAAAAGAAAGCAAGAGTTTTTCATACATGAACGCGTAACATTGCTTGTGTCCGTTATATAAATGTTCTGCGTTAATTAATAATTAACTAATGATCACTGGGAAGCTCGCCCCGCTTCTCACTGGTGAATTCCCTTATAGACTCTTATGGATTTAATCATTTGTTGGATAGAGAATTCTGCTGCCTATTTTATAATTTAACAACTAAATTAAAAAGGAGGGAGACAGCTGGTCTGATTATTATTGGGGTGGTACGAGAGTTTTTGTTGCCTCGTGGCTTTTGCCCCACACCACAAAGGGGGGTAAGAAGATAAAACTGGCCTGTCCACAGTCAGTTTATTATAACATGATGTCTAAAATTGGCATCACATCTCTGTAAGAATAGCAGCGTAGGAAAAAAGCAAAAGCACTTAGGGAGCAAAATCGTAATCATTCTTGTTGGTTCAGGGAGTTTGGTGACCTTCAGCAAATTCCCAGAATACCAACGCACAGCAGCCAGACTGTAAAATGGGAACAGTGAATGCGAAACAGGCTTGAATTTAGCGTTCCAGAAGATGGATAGAAAGCACAAAAACAAATGACTGGAAGATACTAACTGAGAGTCCCCTCATCATGTCTATTTAAGATAAAATGCAGTAAAGCTGAGGGCTTAATTGGGTGTTAAGAGGCAAAATGTGCTCATTGTTAAACATTTTCTGTGTCGAAAGTCAGTCAATAGTAATTACTCTCTTTCGGGCAAAGTTCAGTATGATGCATTGAAGTAAGGGCTGGGTAATGACGGGCCGTATCAGAACAATGAATATCACAGCATGTGACACAGCAGTGGGTCTGTAGCTGTGTGGCAATGTACACTGAAACCATCCACAAGTTATACAATTTTCCAAATCTTTTCAATGACTGCAAATGGCTAATAAGCCCGGTTGGGTTTCCTGTGTCAGCCCTTGTAGCGGTGGCTAATCTATAATGAGCACCCTTTGAGCGGGGTAAGTATTTAAAAGGGTGAGTGAAACTCCTGCCAAGTCACTGGGTAGAGCTGCATCGACGAGAGGCGCGATGTGCCGTATCTACTCTGTGTTTCAGTTGCTAGGACACAGTTGGCAATAACAGGCCCGGTGTTGCCAGAGGACGGGCTGTTATTTAACCAAAGCATGACAGGATGGGCTGGTTCTTTCGAGCACCGAGAGACACTTGCCTCTATTTACCGATACATATTCCAAATGGGCAATGGCAGTAGCAATATTTCCTGCAGAAATTCTGTGTTTCACATCTAGCTAACTCAGTCAAAGGCCACTTATGTAACTTCAAGTGGCTGCTGCTGCTGCTGTCAGCTTTGCATAAGTAAACAGAGCCATGCCAACGTCTCCAACACAACAGCAGTGACTGACGTGATGTTTCTGATCACTGACCTGCCACATTTCTTGCAGGGGAACTCTCCCTCTTGACCAGCTGTGCCTTTGTTTCCTGCCGAAGGGCTGGTCTTGCGTGCGTTGCTGTCGTAGCGTGACTTGGCGCTGGGAGGGGGTGGATGAGGTGGTTGGATGACCCGGGACAGCGGCTGGTCCCGCCCCACGTCCTCCTGGCCTTTCATGATCAGGACGGTCGCAGGCTGCACGCACACAATAAAAGTGAGAAGTAGAGTTAACACAAAAAGCTCCCAAGATGTTTCACACAGTCACTGAGAGCATTTGGGAGATAATGAGCCTGGAGCTACTTTATGAGCAACTTTTATGGAGGGTAGTGTTACAATGGCATGCAAACATGTGCCAGTTGACATACATACGGACACAGTTTAAGAAGACAAAAATAAGTAATGGCAGTTTTATCAACAACCTGTTATGTGTGTTAAACGGCAAAGTGCAATGGGAGTAACAGGAATGAAGTTTTCTTGTCGAGTCATTGTTTGCTAACAGACACAATGGGGTTACACAATCCAGAGGGGTGGACATCAACCACGTTATCTCTTCTAAAACATCCAGCAGGGGGCAGCAGATCCAACACGCATCCACCAGAACAATTCGGGTAGAGTTCAAAAGGACAAGCATGTCAAGTCTGGTGAGGCCAACTGAGGTTTCTAAGCAGCAACGGAGTGGAAGTTTGCTCCAAAATAATGTCCAAGTTTTGTCTGTTTGCTTCCTCCCTTTGTTTACCCTGAATTAACACGTGAGTATGTGTAGGTGTAAATGTGTGTATATATGTATGTGAATGTCTTTGTGTATGTTTCATATCCTTTATAACAGTTGTATTTTGCAATGATACAGAATATTAGAAAAATCTGATAACTCCTAAGAGCAAAGCACTTTGAAGGCATCCTTCTGGAGTACTGACCTATTCATGTTCGGTTTTGATTCTGCATGGTTTCATTTTTTATTTACGATGCCACGATGACCCATATTTCATTTTTAATCAGTTAGTTTCCAGGCATGCATCCTGCTGTAAGCGTTTGCCTAAAACTCTGGCTAGCATTATATATATATCTTATGTTATAATAATGCAGTTGAGCGACATCGCTTATGACATACTGTACCTCACTCTCCCTTAATACTAGTCACGTTCTGAAATCTACAGAACAAACATTATCTGCAGCAGAAACTTACTGAGAACCAAATAATCTGTGAAACTGCCAAAAATGACCGCTGTCATTTAAACCTCTCACTTTAAAACGATGTATGGGATTCCATTTTCAGGCTGGTAAATTCAACATCTCTCTGTGCACGTCACTGCCTGTTACAGTTTAAGGTGGGGCACAGGGCTCATACATCTAAAGTCAAATGATCTCGTATGTACTCAGATGTTGATACCTTGTGTGACAAATGTAAGAGAGGTGAGGCTTCACTTATTCACATGTTCTGGACTTGTCCCAGCCTGGAAAGATACTGGAGAGATGTTTTCCAAACCTTGTCCCTCATTCTTAATCTTGAGCTAGAGCCCAACCCCACTGATTGCACTTTTTGGCACCACTGGTGTGGATGACACGCGCCTAACTCCCACCACAAGTCGCACGCTGTCCTTCGCTTCTCTTTTGGCGAGGCGAGCAATACTACTAAGATGGAGGGATGCTGCTCCACCCACACACACTTAGTGGCTTAGGGACATCATGTCCTGTCTAGACCTTGAAAAGATCTGCTACTCAGTTTGTAATTCAGGTGGGAAGTTTCAGAGGGTGTGGGACCCTTTCTGAAATACTTTGAGAGTTTTCAGTCAAACTGAATGATTTTTCTTTCTTCTGTTTCGCTTCTTTGCTTGTCTTTATGTCAGTTACATAGTCTGTATCAGTCAATGTCTAAATTCGCCTTCTTCTACTCATCTATCTTTATTTCTTTATCTATTCATTGTTTTTTTTGTTTTTTTAATTAATCTATTTTTAATTTTTAGTATTTACAATTGCGGTTTGGTACTTGACTTCCAGCGGTTTCCTGCAGTGCTCCAGGAACAGTGCTCCGTGGGAGGTGTTGTTTGTGGATGTGGCTAGTGGGAGGGGAGGGGGGTTTGTGCTTTGACACTTTGGAAAAAAAAGGGAAAATGTGCATTGTATGAGCATTTCTGTGTTTGTGATTGAACTTAAAAAAAATATCTGAGAGAAAAAATGACCGCTGTCACTGAATGTCTAAAGAGAAACTCAAAAAGACCGAACAGTGAGAGAAATATCACCTCTGGGAGCCTGATGACAAAGTGCGAGTATGTGACTCATAAAGAAGATTAAGCATTTCCTGCACCTGAAAATATACTACACAAATGTGCACATGTATTTCATGTTTCACTTTTACACTTAAGAATGAAAAGGCTTCACGGATGAGGACTTTCATATTCTTATCAGTATCAAGGAGGAAACCTTCCCAACTTTTTCCAAAGCCAGGTGCTGGAAACGGGGGTTTTTCTTACCCTTATCTACTTATTTATTTATTCATTCAGTTCTGTGTTTCCGTTCCCATGAAGTGCAGATTTAAACTGAATTTCATACTTACGTTCTCAGTGGACTGCAACGTGTGTGTCACCCTGGTGGGGCCGACTTCCTGTTTCCTGTCAGCTGATCCTTCCCAGTTCCTGCTGTCCTCCTCCCGTTGTGGCTCCAATCTGTGAGAGCCCTGCTGACCCAGGGACAAAGAGCGTACGTGTAAGACAGAACATCTCCAGGAGAGACATTTACAGCTAGATGCTGATTCATAAAGCTCTGTAGTGGAGTGTTATATGATGAAACTTCATCTCTTGAACGTTACTTTTAAGGTTTTTTTTTAATGTTATTAGTTGATATGACATGTAAAGAAGGGGATTCACACGGTTCAGCACAAGTGGTCAATGAATATACTTTGAGCTGTGGTTATTTCTGAAGTGACACTCTCAGTTTCACATCTAAATAAAACTCTATGTTTAATCATGACCATGCAGTTTAACATTAGCATTCATTCTGTTCACTAACCTGGTCTCTGCTGACTGTATACAAAGCTCCTGAACTACTTTTGCAGATGCTTATAAATTGTTTTAGCTTTCAGTAAAATCATTTTAAATCAATATTTTGTGTGCTGTAGTTGTTTCTGGGACTCTGCTGTTTGTAAGAGGTTTGTTCTGCTTAATGTCAGTGTCTTTATAAATGAGCAGCATTACATCTATAGCTTAGCAACAAAAAAACATCTGTTTCTGCCACACAGACATTAAACATTAAACTGACCTTGTGGTCCATCTCCTCCTCAGTGGTCCTGCTCTCAAGAGGCTCAACCTCGCCGTACGTCAGCGTCCCGTTGCGGCCGATCTTGACATGTTTCTTGTACGTGTAGTAAAACTCCACACACTGCGCCACCGACTTGGTGATCACCTGTGAACGACACACACATTTTCCTGTTAATAGAGTTTTAACTCCTCTCTTCTTTCTTTTTAATGTTACTGCGTGCAGGTTGTTTTGTAGCACAGTCCTGCTGTTGGAAAGCAAACACGAGACACAGACACAAGACAGAGCAACTTCAGATGATGTGCAGCTTTTTAAAAAAATTTATTGTCTGTTTTTGACTTAATGTCCTTCAGGTAATAAAATAAAATGACATTTGTTTTGAGAAGCTTCATTGTGGCTACAGCAACAGCTGTCTCAACAACAACAAAGGCCTAAAGCAAACTCATAAATCAAATTTTAAAAGGCCTTTAATCTGGTGGTTTGGCCAATGAACGCTGAAAAACTGATATAATTTGGCCTCACCCTTGATCACTGAAGTGGTTAGGACAAGAAAATTAAATTGTTTTGCAGTCTTGTGGAAAAACAATAATGGACTGTGACAGTGCAAATAATTAAACAAGGATGAAACATTGTTCCAGAGTGACTGCATTTCCTTTTCCCCGCCCACATCGCCAGGGAAAATAATGTGTGCGCAATGTTTTTTAGGGAGGGTGTGTAAACTGTGGGCAGAGAAAAAATCCAATCAGAGTCAGAGCCCACAGTTACTATGTGGCTTGGACGAGAAGTCGTTTTTTTATTTCCCTGCTTATGTTTGAACGTACCTGTTTCTGCACCTTGAAGAAATCCTTCTTGTGCGCACTGATGCCTTTGTTAAACTGCCGTCTCTCAGCTGCGGTCCAGCTGTCGGATCCTGGAGGAGGGGGAGGCAGAGGGAGATAGGTAGAGAAAGAGAGAGACATTTAAGAAGGAGGAAAGATGCAGCATGTTAATAGCCAGTTTAAAAACACTCAAGTATCTGCTTCCAGACTATATTCTGAATGTGTGCAGACAAGTTCAAGTTCAATCCCACCCCCCACCATTTAAACCACACACCCACACACACACGCACTCACCCACACACACGCACTCAAATCACTCGATAAACAATGGCTCTCCTGTCTTCTGCTTGGGATTAAGCACATGCTGTAAAACTCCTCCCTTTTCCCCTCCTTCCCTCATCATGTTGACCCTGACAATCCTCCACAGTCAACCCACTACCCCCACCGACGCACAACCCCAACACTCTCACTGCTGCAGCTGCCATTGCTTTGAGGCAAAACAGAGGCCTTAGAAAGTCACTGTTGGATGGTCAAAAGAAAATAGGGGAGGAAAATGTTTGACACATCCAAGAGTCTAAATTGTAGCATAAACAGAAAATATTCACAAAGCATCTTGGCTGAAATCAGGATTTCCAAGTAAACATGGGCATTAGTTTTCAGCATTTGAATACCAGCTGGGTGGAGTTTATCAGATAAAGCAAAAAACGGATGCCAGAAAATAATTTCAGGATGAATCCAGTGAACTTTCTGAGACATTAATTTAATTATTCAGTGACCTGCCAACTATTTTCTTGATTAATTATTTAACTGTTTGTTACAGAAAATGGGTAAAAAATGCTTGTTTTGTGCACTAAAATCCAAATATTATCAATTTAATGTCACTCAAGACTTAAACAAACTGTAAATCCTCAAAACTGAAGAAGATGGAAAAGCAGATTTTGTGTTGATCTGTTGTCGTTTCAGCCCTAATGCTTTTATTATGGAAAACAATTATATTGAAATACAAGTAAAGTCTACTTTTATATGACTCACCTGAGTAGTGGTAGTTTGCCAGATGATGAGACTTGGGGAAAATTGGATTCTTCAGCATCAGGAGAGACAGCGCAGCCTGAAAGACAAACAAACACTTTAACACTGCTTTAAAGTGAACAAACATGCCACATTAATTGTTATGAGCCTTTATGCAGCAGGTCACTCCTGCCAAACACGCTGACTCTTGCTCTATTAGGCGCTCAAACTGTGCTTTATAAACCCGTTAAATCACGCTGAGCCATAACAATGTTGCTTACAGGTAACCAGGGAGTGAGATAACCATCGTTCTCATTTTTTCTCCCCCCAGCATGTATCAAGTACCTGAGTGCATTATATCACGATCATTGTCGGAAAACAAGAACTAACTTTCTGCTCTTTGAGAAGAAACAGTCTTGACTGTGCATGAATGTTGAAAGACGGCAGTTTGAGCCGGACTGCTGCAGAGAGTGGGCGCTTTGACACACACACAAACCCCTCCCCTCGTAGTTTCCATGGTAACGTTGGACCAGTGCTGGTCGACGGGGCCTGAAATCTCCACCAGTACTACCATTACTCTGCATCAGGCTGCGAGTCAACTCCCGCTTGTACAATCGGGCAATAATGGAAGTATTGATGTAGGATCACCATTCACTGTACATCTCTCCTGACTGGTGTTAAATAATTGATTTGCAATTAGATCCACTGCAATTTATTGTCATAAAACAGGTCTTCTTTAAACAAAAATAGTCTATGGATTAAAAATATGATTTAGAAATGTTCAAACCTTATACTTCATACTACAGATAAGGTACCACAGATATTTAAACACAATTATGGGTTTTTTGTCCTGTAAAAGCTCTTTAATTCCAATATTGGCATTTGTTTTGTGTTGTAAAACACTGTATATTGTTGGTTCAGAAATAAAGCGTATTATTATTTTAATTATTATTAAAGCTGCAACTATGAGTTTTTTCCAGCTTCTCTTATGTAAGAATCTGCTACTTTTTCACATCTTAACATTATAATAAACTGAATATCCTGATATTTAAAAACACCTCCTTGGGCTCTATGAGGTATCATTATCATTATCATTTAAATTAATCAAATTAACTTCACTAACAATTTAGATACAAGCTGGTTACATGCAGAAAGGCTATTCTGAGATGCTAAGCTTTCAATTTTCCTTTTTTAATATCCCAGCATCCATTTGTAGCCATCTAAAACCTCCCTCTGCTCATTCAATTCACATAAACCACAATAACTATGACTGCATCCTCTGCTGCTGGGGTTTCAAATCGGGGTTGACGTAAAACAGGAAAGAGCCACTTGAGATGCTGCCTCATAACGTTTAACACTGACCGCTCTTTGGCCTCATTATCGCAACCAGCATGGGGCACATTGTTCTGTTTTTTTGTTGTTGTTAAGATTACATTTTTGGACAACAGCATTGCGAGCTGAACTAGCCCTGATGATGAGCTCTGGTGTAATTAGTGGTCTGACAGTGATGCAATAGGTGTGAGACACAGGATGCATCATTGCAGCAGTAAAAAGGTGGAGCACCCATCTGACCAATCAGATTTCTTGGTGGGACTTTTTCTGACCTTTTTCCAGGCGTATTTTATGACTTAGATGTTTCGTCTGGTTGCTCAAGTTGCTTTTCAAGTAGAGCAAAGAACTTTGTGTAAACCTGACCATGCGCATGTAACCCTAGTGTTAATACAACAATGGCAATACCCTGTTTAATGGCGTACATTTCACCTCGCAACCTCATGGTAGAAATCATCACGTTGAGAGAAGATTTCCCCCCAAAAACACAACTTAGAAACAGGAACTAGTGAATTTATGGTTGATGGATGAATCAATTGTTTAAGCTTTGCAGTTAACCCGGTACATCACACCTCAGTGACCGCATGTGCAGCTCCTCTGCTCTACACAGAGGCATCAGCGTAGCCTCTGGCTCAATAACCAATAACTGTTTTACTATCTCAGTCATCTCAGGCCACCACAGAGTTTCACTGTATAGCAGATTGAAAGTCTACAGATCAGTCACTTCCGTTCAGTAATCATTGAGAGCTCAGATGAAGGCATTCGATCATTAGATGCACACAACAAACCAGGTTAGTGGAAGATATCAAGTTAAGGCAGGAAGTTGTAGGACATGTGTGTGTGCACTGCAACGACCAGATTACTGTAAACCTCACGTTTACATGCAGCTGGACAGTAATAGGATTTTCACCCTCCTACCTGCTATGTTTTTGAACTAAGCCTGGCATACTTTCAGTTTATTAGTGAGATATGAAGCTACACTTTGACATGTTTTTGTTCTGGATGTATTTAATCATTCTGGATAGGACGCACTGATGATCTTATCTTTCATCCCACCTCTTTGAAGTCTTTGAAACGCACTTGCACCTATCTAGAAAACCCTGTTAGAACAAGGTTAAGGGTTTACAAGAAACAGAAATCAGTTTTCAGCAGCACGCTTTATAATTGCTTTTGAAATAACCTTAAAAATGGTGTGACTAACTAAAGTAAACCCACTACTGTTTAAAAACGACTATAATTGGTGGTAATTGTATCCTTTCAATCATTCTTTAAATCCCCTTGTCTTCAAACATAACATTAAATATTAATTACTATATAAAACATCTTTACATATAGTTGAGTTAACCTGCTTTATGAGTGGTAGTGCTGATTAGGTTTGATTGAAAGGGACCAAAAAACGCTTTTACACTACACACTAACTTGACTCGAGTATGCACAGTGCAGAACACAGCTTCCAGCCATTTTTTTCCCCATTAATCATGGAAATCCCTGCCTTGTCAGTCAGTGTGGATTGTTCTGTTGTGCTCACCATTATGTCCCCTTTGCACTCGTACAAACAATGGTGGGCTAACTCCTGGTTGGTGCCTCCTCCACAGAAAACACTGGAGCAGGCCAGGTGCATGAGGTCTTCCACTGAAAGACACAGAGAGTGATTATGAGCGAGCAACACAGAAACAAATACTTTTTAAAAACCTGCAACTAGAACATAATTGAATTCAACAGTATTGTGTGTAATTTTTTTTTAATGTGGGATCCACAACAAACTTCCCCACAGTGACAATTAAGTATGTTTTACCATATTAAATTGCATCATATACGCTGGTATCTGAAGAGTTCAAACTGGTTACATCTTCTTACTAAACAAACAAGTATCTAAATGTAATATAGGAGGATATAATGAAGGATTAAGCAGCTTGAGATAAAATCCCCTCAGCCTTATGGTGAATTATTAAACACAGTCTATTCAAACAGAAAGTGACTTCTGTAATTTGCAAACAAGGAAATGACAGACTTCAGCCTGAGATTCAATCAAAACAAAGTGCGGTTATTCTTTTCCTGATGAGTAACATACAAAATGACAATAGGAAAATTATCTGTCCAGTAAATAGCAAGAATCTGCTCAAAGAATCCTGCCCCTGCACCAATAAATCCTGGCTGCCAGTATTTAGACTTTCAGTTTCAGGTGTAACAATTGTAAAATATGGTACTTTTCTTACCTTTCTCCTGGTAGTCGGGTTTCTCCTCCAGTTCAGTCAGTGGAGCCCAGACCAGCTCAGCTCGATGATGATCCAGCTCAACAGCTGACCGCTGCCTCAGCTCTGGCACCTCCGCCTGGTACCGCGACCCAATATTTATCCGTCTGGGAACAGGACATGAGCGTGAGCTTTGAATTTGATCTATTCAAAATTCATCAGGTGCCTTCACTGTTAAAAGGTTTTTATTGACTCTTAAATATTTCAGTTAATACATCATGTATGAATATCAGATTATTCCTGTAAGAGTAAAGCTCTTGTTTTATTTCTGAGATCATATTTTGATTTCTTGGCTTTTCTTTCTGCCGTGATCTTTAAATAGTCACAGGAAGATTGTTGAGGCGCTCTGAGCACTGCAATTCTTGCACTGCTTTGAATTCAAACTTGTTGTACGTGTCTCTTGTGCTCTAAGGATAACGAATAAAATGCAAATCCCTTTCAGAAATTTGTATTTCAAAACAGAGTGCACTTCCTAAATTCCCCAAACCGAAAGTAAATGGATCCTCATCCTGCTGTAGGACAGAGGTCATGTTCAAGTAGGAAGAAGGGCTGATTATCAAACAAATGCATGTATCTCCATATGCTTACATGTCTACTGAAACCAGATACCTCAGTGCTAGAGTTGTGAAAATCATGCTGCGTAGTATTAACAGACAATCCAGTTCAAGCATGCCCCCTCCCTCCCTCCCCTGCATATCCACTGGGCCTGCAGTATTTCCAGCTAAGTGTGTGTGTGTGTGTGTATTCTGGCAGCCTCCGCCAGGGAAGGTGGGCTGCTGGAAGTTCAACTGCGATGGCTCTGGTTGTGTTTGGGAGTACACCAGGCCCAGCTGAAAGCCTGATTTATGGGAAGCCTCACTGGCTCGTCCCTGACCGACTCCTGAACAGCTTGCACAACGCACCGCCGCAGACTGCACCTCACTGAGCATGCAACGCCACAAAAGAATCCTTGACCAATAGTTTAAAGGTTAAACTTAATGGAGTCTAAGTGCCGCCCTTTCTCTGTTGACCCAAATTTCATAAACATTCAAGCTATTGGTTTACATCTATGAAGTCATTTGGCTATTGACCATGTTCTACTGAAGGTCTTATGTCTTATGTGGTTCAAGTTGTTTACATGCACTGTTGACATACTGCTTCCTCATTTTACCTGAGAATAAGTTTAAAATTCTTAAGATTTTCATGGAATTAAAACCCCATGTTTGATTCGATTTACGGTAATTTTGTTCTGCAATAGCCAGTCTATGTAAATAAATTTGGTAATTACCTCCCTGTACAGTAGTTTTTATTGTTAGTGGCGAAGTCCGCCATCCCCACACTGGATTGAGAATGCCTACCGAGCTAAGTATTAAAGATTCACAGGAGACAATCAATCGAATCCTGTGTAATTTTATCATCACTGTTCAGTCTATTTACACAGTATCAGAGTTGTATAAAGTTACAACTGAACACAACATCATACTGCTGCTGCTTCACGTTAAAAGTGTTAAACTTGTGAAACACAACCACAGGAAATGCAGTATATCAAGGTTAGCGCTAACCACGATCAGGTATCAAACATGCATGTACATAACAAAGACAACACGCATTTTGGATATTTTTGGGACATAATTTCAACCCTTCAGCAACGCAAAAGGGTATCAGATTGCAGCTGCAGTTCTTATTGACCGACTTCCTTATTAAAACAATGAGAGTCTGTTTGGTTGCACTGGAAACAGATATATCAGTTGCTCTACTGTTGTATTTCTGACAAAGTAGCTGCTCAACGAGTGTTTGCTGTAATATTAACCTGCACTTGCTGTTGCCACGGTAACAACAAGTGTCCCCCAAATCAACCAGAGCTGAAATCTTAAGGGTTAAAACTTCAATATCAACAAAAGCCACATATGGTAGATTGTTAAAAACCAGATACCTGCCCAGTGTAACGTTAGCCAACCGTTGCATATTAAATTATCTTTTTTTTTACCTTTAAAACAACCAAAGCTACATTCTCTGTTCATGTAAGTTACAGAGCACAGGCACAGGCCTCTGATATACTTACTGCCATTAGTTTTCAAAAGGCTTTAAGGCTTTCATTTGACAGTTAATATGGAGTTGTTATGACAGGATGCACTCTCTCTTATTGAGGGAGACATTAGACTGCATAGTAAGATCAGAAGGCGAATGCTGGCACTAATGCTAGCTGTGGATGACAGGGCAAAAGATTCCAGTGGTAACAGTGGCGGAGAAGGAGGGCCGCTTTAAAGGATGGGTTTAGAATTTCAAAAGGTCTGTTTTCTCTTTCGGGACAATTCATGATTCAGCCAAGTGTTATGGTTTGAATAATTGATTGCAGAACTACTACGATAATGCACGCCTCCGAGTACCCATTTCGTTTATCTGAAAACGAAACACAAACCCCCAAACCCACCCTTTCCATAATGGAAGAAGTTGATTTGGGATGTTGGGAGGGGAATACTCACGGCTCTATGCTGACTGGAGTGGCCTCACTCATAGCAGACAGAACTGGTGGTGTGATGTCGCAGCTGTCTGAAGGAGCAGAAACACAAAGTGAACACAGTGACATTATTAAAAAAAGGAGTTATATAATCACAAAAGGTCATTCAGGCTTAATGCTTATACTGGAATTTTCATAATTGATTTACAAATCACACAAATAGTCCGATATTATTTCCAGATGCTTATTATTAATTAAATGTCAAGAGCTTCATCATTGAATCCCCACAGTTAGGATGTCCTGGGGATAATTCAGGGAGGTTTCATGAACTTATGTTTTTGTTTTTTTACTTACTGGAGCGCAACAGGCTGCGTGTTGCTGACTTGGGGGTTGCTGGAGGTGGCAGGCCCTGGGCGCTGGCTGCAGCAGCTGCAGCAGCAGTGGACAGGAAGGTGGAGAAGTACAGGCCAGTGCCCTCGCGCACGGGGCTGAGGATTGGCGGCGGCGTGTAGGGAGGTATGGTGAGGGGGTTATCTGCGAGGCGAACGGGGGAACGTAGGTGGCTTTGGTAGGGTGTGATTGAGTAGACAGAGGGGGCGATGAATAAACCGGGTTTAGGTGGTGGGATGAAAAGAGGCTCGGGTCGGGGACGCCGTTTGCACTTTTTGCCGTCATCGTCTTTCTCTCCTTCAGTTCCTCCATTCTGGTGAGGAAGAATAATTTTAAGAGGTAAATTAATTACATGAGTCTCTGTGTGATACCTAAATATTCATTCTAAGCAAGAACACACACCCAAAAATAAAAAAACTGATAGTCGAAAATGAAAAATTAATGATATGCATACTCATAAAGTTGGCTTTTTGTGTATTCATCCAGAGAAATCGTAGTGAGGAAGAACAAGGCACCCCCAACCCTCTACTGTATGGTACATAATGTACAGTATGGCAGTGCTAAACCCTGATAATCTTCCTGATCTGGGACAGGGCAACCAGTTCACCAAATCCCCCCCAAATGAAAACAGGGAAGGGGAGAAAACTGTGCACGACCGAAATGGGGGCAGGGGAGACATGGAGAATGGTGGGGGAAGGGAGCATGTGCTGGCGGGGCGATGTGGCATAAATGCAGGGATTTAATAGCTGGAGTTTAGACGGACTAAAAAACGGACTGAGGAAGACAGTGGAACACCACCCTACTACCTAACAACCCTACCTTCAACAAATAATGTAGGTTAAAGTATTAAAAAATGTACTCATTTAAAAGTGGCACCAAAGTACACCAACTTAAAAAACAATAAGAAGCAAGGAATGAATATGCACAAACCTGCTCTGAGCTCTCGGACAAGGAGTTCCTGAGTGAGCGTCTCCGGGTGACAATGACTGAAGGCTTGTGGTCAGCGCGGCCGAGGTCCTGGGGATTTGAAGGCCTGGGGGGCCAGTTGGAGGCCAGGGCTGCTTCATCTCTATCAGGAGAAGAGGGTTCCTTCCTTCGTACTGGAACGGACACGGGGATGACGAGTGGAACGAGGCTGTCGTCTCGAGGCCGCTTGGCATTCAGACCCTCTGAGTCAGTGGGACTCCACGGCCGGCGGGGTTCCTGATAAAGACGGGGGATGAGGTGTTAGAAGACTACTTATAAACTGATTTTCTCTTTAATATAAGACATTATTGGTATATGCAAACGCTTTACTTTCACATTGCTAATGTGCAGAATTGTGTCAGTAATAAATTAAGTCAATTTTTTAAGCAAAAGGGTCAAATTTGTGTTTTATTTTTATTGTTTTGTATGTTTTTTCAATATATGTTGTCACTGTAAAATTGAAAAATAATAGTCAGATTAACTGATGTTAAAAATAATGGTTCGTGATGGTTAGTTGCCACCAAATGTCAAAATGAAGTCCCTTGTTGAGGTGAAACGCCTCAAGTGAGTGACTCCTCAAACCGGGCTCCTGTGGTGGTTTAAACATTCATCCTGTTGTTTCTTGCTATAGAGGCACTTGTTGAAACACGTGAAACTGCAGCTCATGAGCTCAACACATCCAAACTTTCAGGTGACACATTTTCAAATACACGAACGAGTGAACTCTACTTGGCTAGCCGACACAGTGCACGGCAGAACAGTGTGCAAAGACTCATACTCCCTAACAACTTGAGTAACTGTAGCTCAGCAAAACCACAGCACAATAAACCCTAAACTAAAATGTACTTGGATGTCTATTACTTCACATGGGGAGGCTGCAAATATATAATCAATACAGTAAAATTGGTACTTTTAAAAACCTTGGTACTAACCTCAAACAAAAACAAACAGTATGAAGAGAAAATGTCTCATATTCGAGTAACTATTGTGAACTGCTGTGAAAACTAAACCTTCAGAAGACTCTTCCCAGACAAGCCTTTCATGTGTCTGCACCTTGATACGGCACTGTTAGGTGCAGCACTTAAGTGACAGACATTGCATACATGGCAAAGGAACCGTCCCCGAAAGCATTCTTCACATTTCTTTCTCTGAGAAACCATAATGAGCGGGCCTGTGCGCTTTAGAGCAACGATCAATTCTGGAGCAACTTCAAAGCCATCTGAAGCGCCACATCACAGGCCAGTGGAAGACAGATGCATTCTGCCGCTGCACACTGCGTCTTCATGGCTAGAGAGGCGTGCAGCAGTGTGGCTACGCTAAATCTGTGCTCATTATTGCTGGTGGAAAACTCCAGCCCCTACGCCAGAGCGGTGGAGAGAGATTCTGCTGAGCACTGCAGGCAGGGCAACCCTTCACCCCTCCCTGTATAGAGGGAGGGGAGGCCAGGCTGGAGTTTCTCTCCTTTGATGGGATGGGGGGAGGTGTGCAGGCATGTAACCGAACACACTGTCTGTATGATCAGCTACCCGTGAGGCGAATCCAGGGCACAGCCATGCTGAAGCTACAGACATACTGACTCAGTGCTGTTTGGCAACAGGACTTGTTGCACAATCGAGACATTCAGTACATAAACATAGATAAGCGTAAGACTTTACAGTCAGGTTTTGCGAGCTGGAAAGTCACATATGAAGCCATTTGTGAAGAATGTTTACCTCGTGACAACATTCACAATGCAAAGTCTTGTTTTAGCTGCGTATTTTCCCCAACAAGGCAGAGCTAAGCAGCTCAGTTCTGGGGTGCATACTTTGTTGGGCGTTGATTACATTCAGCATCTCTTCCAGCAACACGTTAATCACAAACAACACAAGTTTTGGCACAGTTTTCCTGGCAGTTTGCGTTAGGCCGTTTGTTCCAGTTCCCACTCTTGCTTGGGGAGTTAAAAGTCCCACTGCAATTATACCCCGGGATAACACTAGAAAAATAGATTTTGTAGCTCTCGCCGAGATATTCGCAATTAAGGCTTCCAGCTTGCAGCAACGGGGTTTAGATATAAACTGCAATGCAATCATCGGGATTCGGAACGCTCAGTTCTTTTCTGTTTAAGGTTATTTCTGTGGTTGCTTGAGAGGAAACAGCTGAGAAACAGATGAGTGAGCAAAAGAACGGCGAAAACAGAAAGACACAGAAAAGGAAAGGCATGGAAAGAAAAAAGAAAAACACAAAGATTATTTTGACAATCTCAGAACTGAATGGAGCGCTTACCTTTACAACATGTGATGGTAGAGACTCCATTTCGGAGGCCTTCTGAGCGAGGGTCTCCAAGTTGACCTCCTGGGACACCCTGCGTTTCCTGCGCGTGCTCTGGATGACGCCCGTTGGGGCCGCCTGGATGTCGCGGGCCCCGTTCTGTGAGCCCTGCGGCCCCGGGGCGGCCTGATCCGAAGCGACGGAGAGAAAGGGGTTGTCGGACGGCGCCCCACCTTCCTTGGAGAGCCGTCGTGACCTGCGAAGGTGGGTTTGGGATTGGAGTTGAGACTGGGACAGGGGGTCGGACTGGAGAGGGGGCTGTAGTGGATCTGAAGGCTGCTGCGGTTCTGGGGTGATGTCCTGGATAATTGGTTCCTGGATCTTTGGGGGAGCTGGAGCAGAGGACTCCTGGGAGTGTACCACCACAGGCTGTGGATGTGGGTGAGGGTAATAGTCAAGCACATGAGGGTTTTGTTGTTGCAACTGCTGATGTTGCATTTGTTGCTGAATTTGGAGCTGCTGCTGCTGTATCTTTTGTTGCTGCTGCTCGTGCTGTATTTGTTGCTGCTGCTGTAGCTGTTGCTGTACATGCTGTTGGTGCTGAATGATTTGTTGTTGCTGCATTTGATGGTGGTGCTGTTGCTGAATTTGTTGCTGGATTATGTGATGTTGTTGTTGTTGCTGCTGCTGCTGCTGCTGCTGCTGTTGCTGGCGTTGGAGCTGCTCTTGCTTCTGCAGCTGCTGCAACTGGTGTGGGGGTTTTGCTTGTGTGGAATAGATGGGTGGATTAGGTAAGGTTGTCCTGTTGCCTTGAAAGGTCTGGTAGTAGGGTGGCAGGTGCTGCTTGGGTTGACCGAAGGCCAACTGGAAGGGCTGCAACACTGAGCTTCCTCCTGGGTGGGATGTGCTGTGCTGCTGGGTGTTCAGTGCCCCGGGTTTCAAGGTCTCCTGAAAGGCCTGGGACTGCTGCTGCTGCTGCTGCTGCTGCTGCTCCCACTCCAGTCCCCGAGCCTTGACTGCATCCCTGTATGCATCAACGGCAGGGTTAGGCCCTAGAGGCAACTTGTCCGCAGCTCTGTTGGAGGGCTGCTGATGTGGCTGTAAGCCAGAAGTCTCATGCATAGACTTTGCAAATGCATTCTGGGTCCTTGAGTCCGTTACGTTAACTCCTCCGCTGTAATTAGTAATGTTTTGTCCCCAGTTAGTTATGGTATTCCACGAGGCAGCTCTCTGCTGCTGGGACAGAGACGGCTGCTGCTGACTGGGCTCCTGGTGCGCCCACTTCATAGGCACAGTCTGCTGATAATGACCCCTGCTCTGGTCCCCCTTATCTGGGCTGAATATGACCGAGTTCAGGTACATGTGAGGGCCCTCTGGGTTGGAGGTGACAGTACTTGCAGCCTCGCTCTGTCCGGGGTCCGAGGCGGTGCCACCTGGTACATAGTACGACCCCTCGGGGTGCTGAGACGTCTCCTTCATTGCTATGCTTTGTTCGTTGAAAAACGTGATGCGTTTGCCTGTTCTTTTGGCGCTGGGTTTCTGCTGGGCTGGTACGCTCATGACGGGCATGAATAAGCCGAGCCAGGTGAGTATCTCCAAGCAAACCAGCTCTTAATGCTCCACTGGGTGTCACTCGAATGTGTCGATCCAAAAAAATAAAAAATCAAAAGGGCACCCACGGTGAAATAACTACATTGACATCAGTGGCGAAGTCAAGCACGGTAATCTCCTCTTCCCCTCTGAAGTTCTTTGTGACCAACTGGGAGGTCGCCGGCCTGGGGTGAGCAGATCTGAAGAAGTCTGCCTGTTTTTCTCATTCATGGGCAACACCCTGTATAGAGAAAATGAGAGAGGGGTCAAGCATTGAGCCATCAGACTAAAGGGGTCCCCACAGGGGGGGGTCTCATTATCATCCCCGCCTCAGCCATGTAAAAACCTGCTGTTTGCCTTTTTAACAATAGACCTCTACTGAAAGGTATCGGGTGTGAGAACAGAGGAGGGGAGGGGGCAGGTCTAAACTGTTTCATTGTCCCCTGAGCTCACATGACACCGGGAGGACGTCCTGCACGTACACTGAACCTGCATGTACGACTGGAACGTCACGATAGGTTGTTGGTGGAGACAGCTCGATCAATAGCTCCTGGGAGCGCCATCACGGGATATTACCGCGCGTGACATCGGCACCGCGGGGAGATGACGAGAAGAAGAAAGAAAGAAAAAAAAAAAACGTCCCTCGTGGCTCCGCTGCACTGTGACAGAAAAGGAAGCTCTCTCTCTTTTTCCCGCCAAACTTTCAGCAGTTTGAACGTGACAGACACCTCTCTTTTTACAACTGTGTGATTCATCGGAGGTGTAAAAAAAGGAAATGCCCTTTGAACTGAGGCTGCAGACTCAGAAAGGAAGGGCAACTGAAAGCGAGCAGGCATGAGTCATGATGACACGAGCTCTGCGAGGGGAAAAAAGGAGAGCAGGGAAAAAGTCAAAATGGCCTTGCATGCTTTGATAGCTCGTAGGGGGGGGGATCTCGACGATTGCCATGGAAACCTGCGATGATTATCAAAAATATTATCCGACGGCAGGGTTCGGGAGCAGATTTTGACACGGCGCGGTCTGCCAGATATCGAGATGCACAGAGATCCAGACTGTCTCTGTTAAAACGTCAGTCCTTGCTCCATCTGTATGAAACAGAAACTGTGCCACTCTTGTGCAGCAGTCAACCATCTAAAAACAGAAAACCACTGAGGCTCTTTATCGCCGCGAGAATCACCATTACGCCTTGCTGCAGGAAAAAAACAACAACCCCCAAAACAATGTCTCAAGTTGATTATATAAACGAATACAAGAATCTCTACAACGTGGACTCGCCCCATCTCTGACAAACCTAGGAAGTGACTGACAATTGTCGCCCTTTACTCTGGTGGCCCAGTAAAACAGAAGCTTCTTAAAATAGACCGCTGCAGCTGTTCAGATCCTGCACTGGCTCAGAGGCACCACTGACTGAGAAGGAAACTGAATGACCACGCAGTGTGGCTGACAAACAGCGTGTGTGTGCATCAGAGACGCCATGTGATGCTAC